TGGCTGCGGGCAGGGCGAGCGGCCCCGTCCCGGGGCTGTCGGGACAGGGGGGTCGGTCGGGCCGAGTAGGGACCCCAGCCCGCACTGCTGCGCAGCGTGTCAGCCTCTCTCCGGGGAGATCTGAGGTGTGGAGGTGTCCGCTGAGACGAGGACTGCTCCGTCTGCAGCCAAGCCTGGAAGCATAGGGGGTTTTGAAGCAGGTTGGGTTAAAGAGGTTGAGACAGAGGGTCTTCTTTGTCTTCAGCTGGGCTGTGGCCCCAGCAGGAGTTAAGACCGGTGATGAGCAAAAACTTCTAGATTGAGCGTGACTCCACTGCAGTACTTCTGCCTCTGGAAACACCTTCCTTGGGAGAAAACGCAGCTCAACCATCAGCCACTTGTAAAAGTTGATATCCATACCCAGTGTCAATGGAGATGTAAAACCCATCACCCATGGGTAAATGTTGATATCCATATCCTCCTTTATGGGAGAAGTAAAAAAATATTTTGGCAAAGACATCAAGTTTTATTTCAGGATAGATGTATCAGGGGCTTATCCTTACATTGTTTGTGTGCCCTACAAACTTTCACCAAGCAAGTTTGCCCGGCGAAGGAAGTTACATGCAACGTGTCTATGAACATAGGATGGAAGCAAAGAACTAATACTGAGTGCACGTGTTTGCTTGTAGCCTGCCTGGAAAAGTTCCCAGAATATGTATTTACTGAATTTATTTATATTATGTATTTATTCATATTCTGCTACATATTTACATTCACCTAAGGACATTTGCCCTGGAACTCCACCTTTCTGAAGGGAACTATTGCATAATGCTTTGAGAACATGAAGGCGTATTCTTCCCAGATGCTGTCTGTGTATCCTGGAAAGATTTAGTCATGAACTGAAGTATTCTAGTTGTTCTTGGGTCTCAGTGGTCTGTCTATGCATCTAAGTATGAGTGCAATTCTTTGCAGGAATAGGGCAAAGAAGTCCCTCAGAGATGGTGTAATTACAGTGAGGTTTGGAATGCTTATGAAATAAATCAGAGCTGTCTGTTTTCTTTTCTCTCTGCAGGCCTTGACCTACCAGGGAGATTTCTCTTTGCAATCTTGACTCTGATGACGCTAATTGCCAATCTGGTGTTTATAGAGGAAGCGGTCTACATCTACAGGAAAATCCCCTCCTCCAAAAGATCAATCATAATTTGGATTAATGCTGCAGCTCCAGTAAGTTATCATGGAAAAGAGATAAAATTGAATGTAGAAAACAGGATTTCCCTGAAAATCCCCATGAACCTGCTTTATCTCTGCCCTTCATACAACCCTCCTCCCTTTCTCTGTAGGTGATCTCTACTACTTCATGCATTGGCATGTGGATTCCTCGCT